AAGGACCAAATGGGAGCCACTTCCAACTGCCTCTGGAGATGAACATTAGCAGGAAGATGGACCTGAAAGCAGGCCAGCAACTCAAGGCCAGCACTTGGGGGATGTGGGAAACTCAAAGGGGGCCTTCAAGAGCTACGCCAAACTCCTGTTTCCTCCTCGATGAGTCTCCTTTAAAATAAATTGAAAAGAACTGGCAATCAAAGCCTAAAGATCAAAGGTCAGCTCACTGCAGTATCATAACCTCAGGCAAACAAAGTAAGTATAAAATATTTCTCAGGGACATAGCACAATAACCCAGTGGCTAAAGTCCTTGGCGGCGATCCCATATGGGCGTGAGGTTTGTACCCAGGCTGCTCTACTTCCCATCCAGTTCCCTGTTTATTGCCTGGGAAAGCAGTTAGGTTGGCCCAAGGCCTTGGGGCGCTGCACCCCCATGGAAGATCCCAAGGATGCTCTTGACTCCTGGCTTCAAATCAGCTCAGTTCTGGCTGTTATGGACACTTGAGGAATGAACCAGTGGATGGAAGATCTTTCTCTCTGTCTCTACTAGCCTCTGTGAATCAGCCTTACCAATAAAAATAAAATAAAACCTTGAAAGAATTAGATTTCTTGAGCATCATGTGGTAGCCAAGCAGCTAAAGTCCTTGCCTTGCACATGCCAGGAATCCATATGGGTGCCAGTTCTAATCCTGGCAGGCCTGCTTCCCATCCAGCTCCCTGCCTGTGACCTGGGAAAGCAGTCGAGCACAGCTGAAAGCCTTGGGACCCTACATCCACGTGGGAGACCCAGAACAAATTCCTGGCTCCTGGTTCCTAACTAGCACAGCTCTGGCCATTGTGGCCACTTGGGGACTAAATTAGTGGATGGAAGATCTTCCTCTCTGTCTCTTCTCCTCTTTGTATATCTGACTTCCCAATAAAAAAATAAATCTTCGAAATATATATATATTTCTCAGAGAATGTAGAAATGGAGATTTAATGAGATGGCACATGCTTCAGTTAACACTACTTTGAAAAAATATCACAGGAAACCTAATAATAAACAAAACCGACATGAGTGAAAAGATCACAGTTGGACCGAGCTTGGATGAAGCCTGAAAAATATCTTTTTTCTTTGGTTTCCTTACTCTGACTTGTGCTGCATGACTATACTGCACCCCTCTCTGCTTTTCCATACACTGGTTTATCTTCACCTATTTTGTTTTCTATGGAATTTGGATGCCAGTACTTGGTATCTTACTAAGAAAAAAAAAGAAGAAAGGTGCACCAGTATAAATCATAATCCAATGTTAAGAAGTCATTCACTGAAAAACGTGAGAAATTTCACCACTGTTTTTGAAAAAAATATATACATTTTAATATCAATGAAGTACAATGCATGGAATTACCTTGTCTACTTTTGTGTCTTGCCTCCTTAATTTAGTCAACTGTTTAAAATCAATTTATATTCATTTAATGTGTGAATATACTACATTCTGGGGGTGAGCATTCTGCCTAGGGATGAAGGTAAGGCACCCACCCTGGGCCTGGGGAGCTCCCTGCCTCTGGGGCATGGCTGCAGCTTCCTGTAAACACAGACCTCTGGAAAGGCTGCTGCTGATTAGGCAAATGGATTCTTGCTACACATGACACTGGCATCGTGTTCCTCAGCTCCTGACTTTGGCCCTGTTCACTCCGTATTCCAATTTCAACACTAAATTCCTCCCTTCCTTTTTTTACCCCTCGCCTCTGGCCTGTGTTTGGCACATGGTATTGGATGGGTGCTTTAAACATTTGTTGAAATGAAGAGAATTAAACAAATCTATATGTTGATAAACACATCTGATGAAGCAGAGGGGAAATAAAAATTCAGTTTCTCCTGCACTCACTCTACACAATGAGAGATTCCTGTGACAAAACGCACGGAGGGCACTCCCCGCCAAGGGAGCGATTGAGGTGTAGCAGCAGATAGCAGCTAAGTGTCCTCCAATCCAACCCGACTCTGAGACCGTCTAGCCAGAGACAAGGTAGAGGGCTCAGTTCTACAGGACCACTGCCTCCTCCCAGTGCCAAGCACAAGGCCCAGGCCGTTTTACCCGTGCTACTGACCAACCGACTGTAAACTGGCCTTCCAACAACCCCCTCGTTGGTCCAGTTAATTTCCTGAAGAACTCAGGGAGGCATGCTTACTGGCTTATTATAAAGGATATTATTGCCAAGGCTACAGATGAAGAGATGCATGGAGGGGGAAGGTATGAGAGAAGGCCTGGAGCTTCCTTGCTCTCTCTGGGTTTTCATCATCCAAGAAGCTCCACTCAGCTGGCTTTGTGCAAGTTCTCTGGACCCTGTCCTTTTGGAAGGCCCTCACTACATAGAGACAACTCATTACATCATTGGTCATTAGCAATCAGCTTAACCTTCAGCCTCTTTCCCTGCCACAAAAATATTGTGGGGAGGAACATTAATCCACTGATCTTTTTTTTTTTAAGATATATTTATTTTTATTACAAAGTCAGATATACAGAGAGGAAGATTTTCCATCTGATGATTCACTCCCAACAGCAGGTGCTGCGCCAATCCAGAGCCAGGATCCAGGAACTTCTTCCAGGCCTCCCACACGGGTGCAGAGTCCCAAAGAATTGGGCCGTCCTCAACTGCCTTCCCAGGCCACAAGCAGGGAGCTGGATGGGAAGTGGAGCTGCCGGGATTAGAACCTACCGGTCCCGGCGCGTTCAAGGTGAGGGCTTTAGCCGCTAGGCCATGCCGTCGGGCCCCCACTAATCTTTTTTTCTAAAAAAAGATTTATTTGTTTTTATTTATTTATTTAAAGATTTACTTTATTTTTATTAGAAAGTGAGATATACAGAGAAGGGGAGAGAGAGAGAGGAAGATTTTCCATCCACTAATTTAGTCCCCAAGTGGCCACAATGGCTGGAGCTGAGACAATCTGAAACCAGGATCCAGGAGCTTCTTCTAGGTCTCCCACTCAGCCAAGACCATTCTTTGCTATAGGAATTTTTTTTTTTTCCCGCAGAAAGGGTTACTACAATCTCCATACTCCAGCAGGTGAGGCCAGAAAGACACAAAAGCCTTTTGAAAGCGGAGAAATGACATGATACAAACCAGAATGAGCTGTTTTCAAGGAAATAAATGCTGAGTGAACACAACAACCATGTACCAAATCAGAAGACGACCAAGAGAAGAGCAACAGGCTAAAACCCTTCCACCAAATACCAAAAGCACAAAATAGCAGAGGATCAAAGCATGGTTAAACATATATCGCCAAGCTCCTCTTGTCCCTTGATGCTTAGAGGTGAGCTGAGAACAACAGGAACAAGTGTGTCTGGAGCCGCAGTGAACATGCTCTTACAGAAGCCTGTCAGACACCTGGCGCTGGAATCCCACCTCTACTTTAGCTTAAGGACTTGGGGTCCCTGCTGCAAGGCCCAGCCGGGTGAGTGAGGGGCAGCCCGGGAGGAGGCTGAGAGAGGCGACTGATAAGGCTGCTCCTGCACAATGCAGCCCCCTCCTCGGCTGAGCAGCGGGGGATTCACCAAGATCGAAAGGAACCTGTTGTGCTTTATAGCACCCCCCAATCCACCTTTACAGCCCCCTAAAAAAATGACACCTCATTTCCCCCGGGTGCAACTTCCCTGGCCTGATATCTATGCTGGACCAGTAAACCTTTCCCAGGAGTGCTCCCAATAAAGCTTGTTTTAAGCTAGTCTTTATTCTGTGTGGACCTCTGGTTCTGAACACAAACTCAGCCTTACATCTGCCACTTACCCAGGAGATAGCTTGCGCTCCAAGCGTTGGGCTCCTGGTCTCAGCCTGGCTCAGCTCTGGCTGTCAGCGGGTGTTTGGAGAGTAAACCAGTAGATAAACCATCTTCCATGCCCTTCGAGCAAGTTTTTTTTTAAGTTCTTTTTTTCTTTTCAAGACAAGAGAAAACGTGTTTCTCAGTTGATGGGTATAGACTGAGCATGCAGATGTTTTTAAATAAAATCCCAGAGAATCTCCTGTAGTGCGGGGGGCCTAGCGAAGGGCAGAGTGGCCAAACCAGATGCCAGGCTGCGAGCAGCGGCTTGTCCACTTGCTTCGTGCAAAACACTAGTAACACCCGTAACGGTCACCTCAAGGAGTGGCTGGTGGCGTTCAAGTCAAACCGTGTTTAATGGTGTGAGAACTGGAAGACGCTCCCTAAGTACAAAGTGTTTTGTAGGTACTGCCTGGTAAGAAGTGTTTGGCAAGTCCCAAACCAGGAGCCCCCATCCGGGAAAGGGCGTGTTGGCTGCCCCAAGTGGCAACCGCTGCTTCCAGCCATTCAGCGCTTGGCTCGTGAGGGCTCGCTGAGGAAAACCTCGCAGCAATGGTCACGGCTTTCATTACACTGAGTACACAATCCTCCAAAGACACTCTGCACGGAACCGCTAGGGACTGGCCACGGCGGTCAGCGAGGACTTCGCCGAAGCGCGGGTTCGCTCACCAGCCGACTAAGCCGACCAAACAACGCCCAGTCGGAAGAAGTGGCCGAGTAGCGATGCAGTGACTAACATTCCCTTGTGAGACCCTAAATACTGTGGCACCTTGCCCTGCCATCAGCGGGATACAAAGCGGCCAACACATCGACCCGGAGGGCAGAGGCACTCCCGCGCGCGCCCCCGTTTCTCACGGTCTCGCGAGTCTCGCGAACGCGCCTTCCACTGGCCAGGCCTCGCCAGGCGCGCGCGCGCCGACGTCGGGGCACGTAACCGTGGGCGCGGCGACGGCGACGGCGGGCGGGGTCCGGGTGGGCTCCGCCGCGCCGCCGCGCAGGCGCCTCAGGGCCGTACGGAGCCGAGCCCCTCCTGCTCCCTCTAGGAGTCAAAATGGCGGCGAGGGGAACCTGGAGCAGCCCCGGAGCTTGAGCCACTGACAGGAGAGGAGAGGGCGGCGGCGGCGGCTGGAGGAGGATGGCCGGGGGTGCTGGCGCCGGTACGGACGGCGGTGCTGGCGGCGGCGGCGGCGGGGGCGACGGTAGTGGTCCCAGCGGCGGCAGCAGCAGCAGCAGCGGCGGGAGGAGCCTCTGGGGTGAGTGTCCCTTGGTGGGTACTAGGCTGTGGAACCGAGGTCCGCCCGGCGAATAGGAGATGGCTCCTGGGCGTGGGGGGCGCTGGGCCGGGTTGCCGGGCGGGGCAGGGGGAGTCGCGGCGGCGCCCGACTGGCCGGTCCCCGAGCGCAGGCGAGGGGCGGGCTGGGCAGCGCGCCGCCGTCCCGGGGGCAGAGGCGCGAGGTGTGGCGCTCGGGCGGAGGAGACGGCCGGAGGTGGCCGCGGCGGCCGGCTCCGAGCTCCCAGGGGCGGGAGCCGCCGCTCCCCGGACGCTGGCGAGACTTGGGGCGCCCGGGGACCCCCTCCGCGGGGCCGGTGCTGCCGCCCGGGTGGGCGTGAGAGGCGGGCCGGCCGGGGCTTGGCCGGGCAGCAAGGCCTGGGTCCGGCTGCTGGCGGCGCGGGAGGGAGAAGTTAAAACGGTCCGGGTAAGTTCTTGTTTGGGGGATAAAACTGGAGCTGAGCGTTGACAGGTTGGGAGGGACACCCTACGGAGTGTTTGCAGGAAGCCGAGGCGACTGTGTGCTTGAATGGCAAAAAGCTTGCATTTTGCAGCGCCTTCAGCCCCCAACCCCCCATGAGAACTTCCTCGCTGTCCTTTGTTTTTGGGGGGTGGAGGGCAACTGAGAGGAGTGCTGTTGGTGTGCCGGGCGGCCACAGCAGCTCTTCACATTCCAGCACAGATAGTGAGTGCTGGAGCAGGCCCGATTCACAGAAGCTGTCTGGGTGCTCTTGCTTGACCAGAGCAGTTTGCTGTTGAAAACCTCCTCCCGAAAGCGGGGACTAGACGTTGCTCCAGGATCCATTAGCGTCGAGAAGCAACAGAATAGCATCCTCTGATCAGCATCGTTTCCTGGACATGGCCAAAATCCATGGGAGAGGGGTTTGAAATTGCTGTGCGAGAATCGTACCTTGTTACGAGCTGGGGGGAGCCCTGGTGATCGCATGTGACTCTTTTGGGGCTGGTGAGCCAGGCCCGACCAGCTGAGTGGCTTCACACGGGGACCTGAACTCTGGACAGCTGGATTGGCGAGCTCTGCACTCCCGAGCTGCCCCGTGGCCATGCCTCGGTCTGTGTGTGGTAAAGTTGGATTCTGCAATGAACAGTGCGCCTCTCTCCTTGATGCTTGCCGATAGCTACCGCAAGTGTCCAGTGAAGACTTTTTTTCCTAACATAAATGTAGTGAAATACTGGGTGACATTTTGTTTAGGGTTTTCGCAGAGCCGTGATTTGCATTTAGGCCTGATGGTCCCCACACCTACGTTTCAACAAGTTCTTGGTATCAGAGTGTAATTTTAGAGTTTGAAACACCTGTGTTGTTTTCCTGGCCATGCTACCAGGTCTCCATGTGTCGTCTTGTTGAGTCAGAGCAGTTTTATTTGTAATGTGTCACAAGTTAACCTTCAGAAATATAGTAAAGGCAAAGGATTTTTATTTCCCTTTCTAGTTCCGGAAATGCTCAGATTTACACAAGTGATCATTGAAGATCTATTTAGTTTTTTATCTCACTGGTGCTGTGGGTGAAGCGAAAGCAATGGAATGCATGAATTTTGCCCTTAAGTTCTTATTGACACGGTGAGGTGCACCCACGTGAAGCTAGAAGGCAGCTTAGTGGATTGCAACAGAAGGCATGCTGCAAGTGTTAAGGGCAGAGGCAGACTTGCGCAGCCACCGGGGTCTGAAGAACTTCCTGGGACACGTGGGACTGTGAGGGGAAAGTGAGAGTGTCACCGGCGGGTTAGCTTCCTGGGTGACCAGGCAGAGGTGATAGCTGAATTTCCTTGGGAAACGACTTTCTTTGAGAAATGCCATTGTCTGTGGAAGGGTTGGATTTTATCCTCTTGTGGAAGCCTGGAGCCTGGAGGAGAGCTGCAGCTTGCGTTAGGAGTGAGGTGTGCACCTGCATAGGCAGTAGCTGTTGCAGTTACCTGCGGATGAAGAGATGAGGTGCTAGCCTGATACTCAGGAGGATTGCATAGCAGGTGCATTGTGCCATCTTACTGTTTTTAAGTGTAGTTTAGTAGCATTGAATACATTCTCATTGTGCAAGCATTACTACCTCCATCTTTCCACACTGAAATTCTGTATCCGTTGAACACCAATTCCCCATTTTAACTTTATTCTCATCTCCCGTTAGCTACATTATCCTATCTGTAAGTGCAAAGTTCACAACTCTAGGTGTTGCATGTAAATGGAATCATACAGTATTTGTGATGGGCTTATTTAAGTTAGTCTATATGTATATAGGATGTTTCGATTTTTGTCCCTTTTTAAAACTTTTGTATTCCATTACATGTGTATACCACATTTTATCTGTTTATCCAGTGTTAGATATTAATTGCTTTTTTTTAGATGTATTTATTTCCGTTGGATTTAGATATATTTATTTCATTCTGTACAGAGAGGAGGAGAGACAAAGATCTTCCATCCACCGGTTCACTTCCAAAGTGGCCACAACGGCCAGAGCTAAGCCTTTCCAAATCTAGGAGCCCAGAGCTTCTTCCAGGTCTCCCACACAGGTGCAGGGTCCCAAGGCTTTGGGCCGTCCTCAACTGTTTTCCCAGGCCACATGCAGGGAGTTGGATGGGAAGTGGGGCAGCTGAGATATGAACTGGTGCCCATATGGGATCCCTGAGCGTGCAAGGTGAGGATTTAGCACTAACCTGTTTCACTGGGCCTAGCATTTGGTTTTAATTACTCTAACTTGATAGTAAAATTTGAAATAAAAGTGTGATGCCTTCAGTTTGTTCTGTTTCCAGGCTTTTTTTTCTTTTCCACCATTCAGAATTCCTTGAATTTTAGGATTGATTTGTTTTTTCTATTTCTGCAAAACTAAGCCACTGGGTTTTTGTTAGGGATTGTTTTGAATGTTTAGGTTGCTTTGGGGAGTACTGACATTTGTGACAATGTTAAGTCTCCCAATCAGTGAAGGAGGTGTCTTTCCATGTGTTTGCCAGTGTGTCAGAGTGCTCACAGAATTGAAGGCTCTGTCTCCTCCGTTACATTTACCCGCAGTGTTTCATGCTCTCTGTTGCTGCCGGGACTAGGGCAATGCTCTTCGTTTTCTCTGTGGAATATGCATTGCTAGGCTGGGAGAACACAGCTTGTTTTTGCATATTGATTTTCTGCAACTTGGCAAAGTTCATTTATTCTAAGAGATTTGAGGTGGAATATTTGCATTCTGTTTTTTAAGATTTATTTATTGATTCATTTATGTATGTATGTATGTATTTGAAAGTCAGATACATAGAGAGGAGGAGAGACAGAGAGGAAGATCCTCCGTCCGATGATTTACTCCCTGTGCGGCCCCAACAGCCAGAGTTGTGCCGATCCAAAGTCAGGTGCCTGGAGTCTCTTCCAGTTCTCCCATGTGGGCACAGGGCCCCAAGTCTTTGGGCCACACTCGACTGCTTTCCCAGGCCACAAGTAGGGAGCTGGATGGGAAATGGAGCCACTGGGATTAGAACTGGCGCCCATATGGGATCCCGGTGTGCATGCAAGGTGAGGACGTTAGCTGCTTGGCCACTGTGCCAGGCCTGGAATGTTTGCATTCTTTTATGCATATACGCTTACGTTGTCTATAGACAGTTAAGGTCCTTACTGCTTGGTTCAAATGCTGTTTTTCTTGACTAATTGCTTATCTAGGATTTTGTTTATTGTGCTGACTTGAAGTCACAAAAGCTGGCATCCTTGACTTATTCCTGATCTTACAAAAACGTTTTTAATCTTTCACCATTGAGTATTGTATCTGTATGAATTTTCTAAATATATGTTTTTTATGATGCATGAATGTGTATATGTATTTCCTTATAATCCTGGTCTGTTGAATGTTTTAGCAAGTATATGTGTTGCTTTTAAATATATATTTAGTTATATATTTAAAAGTTATGGGTGCTGGAAAAAAAAATGTTTTCAGATTGATGAATGAGGAAATTGTAATGTCATTGAAAGAATGCTGTGCTATTGTGAAGCTGACATTTTAAATATTATCTTTGTACATTTAGAGACCTGTTTTGAGTGAAGAAAAAAATAGTACTGTGGCTATGCAGTGGGGAAGACTGGCAATCAAATAATACAAATATATTCCTTGAATAATTATCATAACTGTTTTGCTCATAACTTTATTCCTAGCCTGACATGCAGTTGCTTATTAAAATTAATTTTTACTTTCTGTTTATTTTAAAGGCAGAGACAGACAGAGATCTTCCACTTTCTGGTTCATTTCCTAAAAGCCCTCCACAGCCACATCTGGGCCGGGCCAAGGCCACATGTCATGGAGTGGCAGGGGTTCAGGTGCTTGCGCCCTGCCCACTGCGTCTCTGTGTGTGCACTGGCAGGGATCTGGAATCCAGTCAGAGTGGACTTAGGTCTCAACCCAGGCATGTGTCCTGAGTGGCATCTGAACTGTGGTGCCAAATGCCCACCCCTGAAATGACATTAAATCAAGAAGCAGAAGTCTACGCTTTGATCCAGTGAACTAGAAAGTATATTGTTTATCATTTTTTAACGGAGAATGTTTGTTTTTATTTTAAACCATCTCCACTATTAACCAAGTCAAGATACAATGATAGTAAAAAAAAAAAAAATCAAGCTCATTTATTCTTGAAAGAAGACAAGTAGCCTTTTTTTTCTAAAACAGGTATCCTTTGTATTTTTTTATATATTTAATTATTTTTATTGGAAAGACAGATTTACAAAGCGGAGAGACAGAGACAGAGAAAGACCTTCTGTCCGCTGGTTCATTTCCCAAGGAGCCAGGAGCTTCTTTTAGGCACCCACGCAGGTGCAGGGTCCCACAACTTTGGGCCGTCCTTGACTGCTTTCCCAGGCCACAGGCAGGGAGCTGGATGGGAAGTGGGTTTAGAACGAGTGCCCATATTGGATCCCAGTGCGTACAAAGTGAGGCCTTTAGCCACTAGGCTACTGTGCTGGATCCCCAAAATGTGTTTTAAAAATCTAATACAGGGCCCGGTGGCGTGGCCTAGCCGCTTAAGTCCTCGCCTTGAACACCCCGGGATCCCATATGGATGCCGGTTCTAATCCCGGCAGCTCCACTTGCCATCCAGCTCCCTGTTTGTGGCCTGGGAAAACAGTAGAGGACGGCCCAAAGCTTTGGACCCTGCACCCATGTGGATACCCGGAAGAAGTTCCTGGTTCCTGGCTTTGGATCGGCATAATATCGGCCGTTGCGCTCACTTGGAAAGTGAATCTTTAGAGGGAAGATCTTCCTCTCTGTTTCTCCTCCTCTGTATATCTGACTTTCCAATAAATAAATACATCTTTAAAAAATAAAATATAAAATTGCCTTTAATCCAATACACAGAAAATGTTTTAAATCACAAAATACAAAGCAGTCTGCTTTTTTGAGCATTACTGGGGTTTTTAGATATAATTGTGATGTAATAGAACTGGGTGGAGGGTCAGTCCTCCAGTTTCTAGCCACTGTTCCAGAGTACTCTGAATTGCTAGTTCTGAATTACTCAGGAAATCTCTTAGCCTGTGTGAAGCTTGGTTTCTTGATCTATTAAAAAAACTAGATGTGCAAGTGCATTACTGAACCGTCTTTCTCTCTTGCATGTGTAGTTATTATTGTTTCATTTTCTTGGTCTCTTACACCTGCCTCACTACTTTGAATTGCTTGTCGCACAAACGTCTGGTTGAGTGTGGCTTGCCTGTTCCTGCACTCTGCGTCACTCTCCGTGTACATCACTGTCACGGTTGTGTTCCTTGACCAAATTTGACTTGTTACTTCCCTATTTAAAAAAATTGCTAACTTCCATTTTCTGTAATACAAAGTCCAGGTTTCCAGGCTGCCTACCTGGATCTGGTGCCACTCCAGAATCCCTAGCGGTTTCTGCTGTTTGCTTTTGTTTTTCTTCTGTTTATTCTAATGCTCATAGTTCTCCCTTCCTTTGTCATTCGTTGCTAACTGCATATTGTTTTTTTTTTTAATCTACTTTGCTTTACTTGCAGACCTCTGCTCTTTCATGCCTTCAGAGATGGAGAAAGGAATTCAATACCAACCTTAGGTGTAGATTGTGAATCTAAGCCAGTCAGCTCGTGGTACTCCCTGTGCTTTTGTTTCGTAGTCAAAGAGGTACTTGAGACCTGGGAATTTATTTTTGGCTTATGTTTATGGGGCAGGGAAGTTCAAGATAGGGCATTCATATCTTGTGAGGGCCTCATGTTGGATTGTTACTGGAGGGATGGCATCACGGGGTTGGTGTGTGTGAAGAAGAGAAGCAAGAGACAGAGAAGCCCACCCACTTTATGACACCTTGCTTCTGCAAAAGCTAGTCCAGTCTCTTGAGAAAGATAGGAATCCATCTTAAAGATGACCCCCAACCCCCAACACTGCTACCAACTCCAGAAATGCACCCCATGAATAGTTACTTCTCCCAGATTAGGAGATTCTGTTTCTGGTGAAGGATTCTTCCCCTGTTGAACATGAACCCCGGGGACCCAAGGCCTCCTGTTACCTTGTTATCTGCCTGTGAGGACCGTGCCTGGAGATGGCAGATCCCAAGATCCGGGTTCTTGGCAACATTCCCCATGCTTTCTGCCACCTGCAGCCTTCCTTCGCTGCCCTGGGACTTCTAGGACTGACGAACCGCTGGTCAGCTAAGCCAGTCCTTGGATTTGTTGATTATTAAAAACCTCCTGTTTGGTGTGGTCCTCTGTATTCTTCAGCTTTGTCATCTTTACCAATAGTCATAGATTCTCTCCCAACCCTTACCACAGCGGATTACAGTCACTTGCATGTGCGTCTCACTCCTGTGTGTGACTGTTTAAACCCAAATGTGCAGGATATAGCGCAGCATCTGTTGTATAGTAGATATTCAGTAAGTGAGTTGTTGGGATGAAATAGCATGAAAGAGTGCTTTGTAAGCTATTTTTAAATATGAGGTATGTTAACTGTCTTTGAAGTGGAAATGGAAAACTTAGCCCAAGCATAGTACTTTGTTTGCACTTCATTATTATCTGGAAAATTTCTGTAGCCAAGAAAATGGGACATATATACAAATATTACCTGTTAATACAAATTTTTAATGAAAATACGTTTTTCCTGCCGCAGTCCTTTACAGAGGTACCGTGTGAACCGTGCTATTGTGCTGTTCCCTTCCTTCTTGGGGGTAGACTCCCTTAGGTAACTTCAAGTGCAGATTGCATCTAATATCCCTGTGTATTGGTCAGTTTTATCTGGCCATGTATTTTGTGAATATTTCTTTAAAGAAAAATTCTGTAATATACTTCGTAAGGGCTGCTTGTTCTTGTGTTCAGACTTTCCTAAAATATTTTTTTAGACGTAAAAATTTTCTTGTAAGCAAAATGCTTTGTGGCAAAACTAGATGGGTTTGTAGCAAATGTTAGTAATAGCTTGTGACAGAGCAGTCTCATTATAGCCTTAATTATGGAGTCAGAGTTCTGTCACGTGCTTCGGCAATAAAGTCTGACAGGAGGAAGGAGAGTTAAAATATACAGACTAAGTGTCATTTGCCATTCGTTACTATAGTTAAAAATGAAATTTCAACTTAGTAATTTGCAGTTATTTTTAAAACAAAATTTTTAAAAATTAAACATTGGAAGATGGACTCTGGTCATTTTTTAACTTATTTTGTGATAACATTTTAATTTGCATAACACTGGCTTAATGTTCTAAATAGCTTAATAAAAAGTAAAAATTCTCCAGTTGAGCAGAAAATGGTCATTTCTACTAACCTTTTAATGAATATAACTTCTGTGTGTATATGAAATCTTACAACGTATTCCATATTTCTGTGACTGGCTCCGTCACAGCAGGTGAAGCTGCCTCTGCAATGCTGGCCTTCCACGAGAGTGCTGGCTTCTGTCTCAGTTGCCCCACTTCCAATCCAGCTCCCTGCTCCTGGCTTAGGAAAACAGCAGGAGACAGCCCACACGTTGGGGCTGCTGCCCCATGGAAAATTCAGATCAAATTCCTGATTTCATTTTGACTCAACCCTGGAGATTGAACTAGAGGAGGGAAACTGTGTGTCTCTCTGATTTTCAAATAGATAAATCTGTTTTCTTTTTCTTTTTTTTTTTTTAAGGATCCTGTATTTTTAACTTTGTACCTCAGAAGATAAGTAACTTATCTATATCAAATCACAATGTAGCACATAGTTGAAAGTTTACCTATTATATTCATGTGCTTATTGGATAGATGTGATGTCATTATACTTCAATGGACTTTTCAAATAAAAAAAAAAAGCTGTGAGGCTATTTCTAGTCCCCTGCTGTGACTATTAGGTTATTAGAGAGAGAGCCTGACACCTCTTCTGTTCCATGAATGGTCTCACTTTACCAAAAGCTCTGTTTCTCTGGTTAACCTTTCTTCTGTATCCCTCACACTCGTGACTACATGTTTCTCAACCTTAGATTACTTATATTTGGGGCTAGATAATTCTCTGTTGCGGGGGGTAGGGGGCGGGGGGGCTTGTCCTGTGTCTTTACAAAATGTTGAGCAGTAGTCCTGGCCTCTGTTAGATGCCAATTTTACCCTGCTGTTTCCCCCTTGTTGCAGCAGCCAAAGATGTTTGCGCACATTGCCAGGTGTCTCCAGAACAGTGCATTCACCTAACTTGAAAATAGAACTTTGTTAAATCATTACTGTTCACTTATTCATTGGCTTTCACACCTTCTTCTCCTCCTCACACATCAAGACTTCCAAACCCTTTTCTCCTAGTGCCTCAATTCTGTGTGTTTTCTGTAGCCACATTTGGGAAGTTACCCTTCAGTCCAGTTTTTTCCCCTTGAGTTTCCAGAGACCACCTTCTGCTCATTTCCTCTCACTTGTCACTGCTCTTTTGATCTCCCTTTTCAACCCCACCTGATTGGACAGTCAGGCAATATAACCTGACTTCTTTCTTATTCTGTCTTCACTGTCTTCCTTCCTTGCCTTATTTCCTAGCACTTCTATATTATATATGTATATATATATTTCTGATTTAATTTTATTGTGATAAGAATGCAAGATCTACTCTTAAATTTTTAAGTGTCCAATCCAGTGTCGTAAGCCTGGTGCAGTGTTGAACTGCAGATCCCCAGAGCTTAGTCATCTTGTTAAACTGAAACTCTTGATTAATGATTCATCATCTGTTTCCCACTCCAGCCACCATTCCATAGTTTGATGCTATGAATTTCTCTGGTAGTAACCAGGCCTACACACCCCATGTAAGTGAAATTGGGCGGTGTGAGACTGTCCATCATGTTTTCCATGTACACCTGTATGTCTGTCTTAAAGGCTTAATAATATTCCTTTGTTATATACCACATTTAGACATTTAGGTTGTTTCTATGTTTGGCCATTGTATTTTATTCATTCTTAAACCATTCGCTCTATTGAAATACACTTACCTACACTTCCTCATGTCTAAATTCTGACATTCTGCAAGGCTTAGAGCAAATGTCATCTTTGCATGGAAAACTGATCCCCATAGTCTGGATTCCTTGCCATGATCCTGTTCTTGTTCTCTGTCCCCAAAAGTATGTACCTGCCCTGGAATGTATCTTACCACTACCTGGCCGAGTATCGGGCATACTCATAGGTATTGCCCAGTACTTGCCAAAAGAAAGATGAGATGGGAGCAGGAGGATGGAAAGGATTTAAGTAAGGTGGTGATATTGCTAAAGGCAGGTAATAAAGAAGGAAAATGTAGAAAATGTAAATAGATTTCTTTACATCCTACTGTTTCTTGACTTCCTAATATTATTCTGCTTTTTCTGAGCTCCTTGGTTATTAAGGGTCCACTATGAGCTATGGTAAACTAAGGGTCTGCTATGACTCTAAGGGGGTCCTAGGGATACTTAGTTACTGAAGTTAGGATGTAGTTCCAGTACTTTGGCAGATTAGTCCTTTTGAGGACATAAAAGTCTGCATCAGATTGCCTCACAGGGTGTGAAGGTCTGAGATTGAAGTGTGTCTAAACTCTGGAATGATCCCTGGCTTGGAGTAACTGTCATTAGAGTCTGGCTTCTCACAGGCCCCGGATCCTGGTCAGTAGCTGGTCTGTGGATAGTGTTTTCTCAGCTTACTCCACTAGTTCCTTTCTTATAAGCCCCAAGTCATCAGCGTTTCCTGTGGCTCACAGCACTTAGCTTTCCGTTCATTCATCTGTATCCTTTTTTTCAGGAAGTGAATTTGGTTTCCAAACTAATTTTTGCTAACTCCAACAAAGCATTTTTAAATTCTGTAATAATGGTTATACAAATAGGTACAATAAACAAATCCATTTACATTTTCTTAGGACAGATGGCTCTAAAGCTGATGCCATTTTGTCAGATAGAATGCTGTGGGCACCCCAGCAGCCCCTGGCGAGCCTCTTCCCCGTCAGCACCACCCTTTTCCTTTAGGGTGGCTGCTGTTCTGAGTTGTTGGGTGACTTCTGCACCGGTTTGACAATAGCCTTCGTATGTGAATGCCAACCAGGTGTTGAGTACCAAGGTAATACAAATAGGAACTCTTTGTTACATCCTGTTTTGTACCAGCTTTAGGGCCCCCGAGACCACCTCAAGTTTTTGTGATTAATAAGAACACAGAATAGTCATCTCATGGTTAAGAGCAAAATCACAGTGAGCATAAGAAGCATGACTTCTCCCAGGGAATCCGCCCGGGACATACACCAATTTCTCCTGCAGCAACTTGGGACTGTGTGAAGCTCATCCACCATCAGGCTCTTTAGATGCTTGATGGCCAGACATTTTTGTTTTGGTTTAGTTTCTTGTTTATTAAGACTTATTTTTATTTGAAAGGCGGAGTGATGGAGAAAGAAAATCCCCAAATGCTGCAACAGCTGGGCTTAGGCAGACCACAGCAGGAGCCTGGGACACTCCTCAGTTCTCCTGTGTGGTTTACAGGGCCTCAGACATCTGGACTGTCTTTTGCTGCTTTCCCAGGCACGTTAGCAGAAAATTGGAATGGAAGCTGAGCAGCCAGGACTTAAACCAGCACTCTGATATGAATGCTGGAGTCACAATGGTGTGCTTAACGTGTGTCCCATAATGCCAACCCCCATGCCTGACGTTTTTATCCAGGTCTGTTTATGCAGGTCCCCTCTACGTATCTTACACAGAAATCCTAAGCTCCCAGAAAGAAAGCAGGCACTCAGATAAGCCAGTTGTTGACACAGTTTGAGTGGCCCTTATCAGGTACTTTGGCCATGGTGCAAACACTTGAAATCGCAGGTTCCCAGGGACCTGCCAGAGCCAACCTCATGAACAGGGTTTTCTGAGGATGTTAGTCTCAGACTTGTGTCTTTTATGCACAATACGTTTTGATCATTTTTAACTCTAAATAAATAATCAAATTCTATTTTTTGAAGTTTGATTTGTTTAAAAGGTAAGTTTACAGAGAGGGAGAAACAAATCTTCCAGCCACAGATTCACGCTAGAGACTGCAGCGACCAAGGCTGGGCCAGTCTAGAGCCAGGAACCAGGAGCTCTGTCCAATTCTCCCACATGGCTGGTTGTCACCCAAACACTTGGACCATTTTCTGTTGCTTTTCCCAGACCACTGGCACAGAACTGTGTCAAAGCGGAGCTGTCAGGACATCACATGGCGTCCATGTGATGTGTCAGTATTTCAGGCAGTGTCCTCACCTGGTTCTCCACAACACCGGCTCTTGTAGAACATTTTTCAGTGGAAAATTTACTAATGCTGTAACATTATTTGGAAATGTTCGTAACTGTTGAAGCAATTTGTGTTTACATTAGGAGCCAAATACACTGCTTTTAGCTAATATTTGACTTAAAACAAAGTATGGTGTGCATTTGTAAAAATGTAAATTAGCTATTGAGAAATCGTTCTAACATAATTTTTCCAGATCTGTTTATAATTTACCAGTATGGGCCCGGCGCAGTCCTTGCCTTGCACACACTGGGATTGCACATAGATACTGATTCCTGTCTTGGAAGCTCCACTTCCCATCCAGCTCCCTGCTTGTGGCCTGGGAAAGCAGTCGAGGATGGCCCGAAGCCGTCAGACCCTGCAGCTCTGTGGAAGACTTGGAAGAAGCTCCTGTCTGGTTGCAGATTGGTTTAGCACCAGCTATCCTCTGCTGCCTTGGGCCACACTGTCCTGTTTTCCCAGTGCTTGCAAGGTGAAGGTTTAGCCAGTAAGCTATTGCTCCAGGCCCAACAAAATGTTGTGGTTTTTTTGTTTGTTTTTGTTTTTTTAAGATTGATTTATTTTTTTGCAAAGTCAGATATACAGAGAGCAGGAAAGACAGAGAGGAAGATCTTCCGTCCAATGATTCACTCCCCAAGTGACGACAATGGCCAGTGTTGAGTAGATCCAAAGCCAGGAGCCAAGAACTTCCTCCAGGTCTCCCATGCGGGTGCAAGGTCCCAAGGCTTTGGGCTGTCCTCCACTGATTTCCCAGGCCACAGGCAGGGAGCTGGGTTAGGAGTGGAGCAGAACCCATATGGGATGTCAGCACTATGTGTCACTGGTATGGCCCAAGCAAATTTTTTTTTTAAGATTTGTTTTTTATTTATTTGAAAAGCCGAGTTTGCTGGAGCGGGTACAGGACAAGGGGAAGGGCATGGAGTGCAGAGAGGAAAAGACACAGTGAGCAACAAAGACAGTGTCTTCCATCTGCTGATTCTCTCCCCAAATGGCCGCAGAATCAGGAGCTGCCTCTGGATCCCAGCTGGGTGCAGGAGTCCAAGCTGGTTGGCCATTCTCTACCGCTTTGGCAGGCATGTCAGCGGGGAGCTGGATAGAAGTGGAGTACCTAGCTGGGATTCAAACAAGCACTGTATGGAATGGCAGTACTTGGGCAGCTGTTTAACTTGCTATGCCCGCAGTGGTGGCCCCTGGTTTCCTAGTGTTTGTTTGTTTGTTTTTTAAAGATTTATTTATTTTTATTGGAAAGGCGGATATACAAAGAGGAGGAGAGACAGGAAGATCTTCCGTCAGATGGTTCACTCCCCAAGTGAGCGCCATGGCTGAAACTGAACCAATCCTAAGCCAGGAGCCAGAAGCTTCTCCCAGGTCTCTCACGTGCAGGGGGAGTGGAGTGCAGGGTCCCAAGGCTTTGGGCCGTCCTCAACTGCTTTCCCAGGCCACAAGCAGGGAGCTGGATGGGAAGTGGAGCAACTGGGGCATGAACTGGTGGGATCCCAGCACATGCAAGGCAAGGACTTTAGGACTTTAGCCACTAGGCTACTGTGCTGAGCCCAATTATCTACTCTTTGCATCTTAAATGTTTTTAAGTGGTTTGGAAAGTTTGATTATAATACCTAATGGTTGCCTCTAAGGACACACACATTCACACAAAAAGAAATACTTATTTTTAGTTTAGACCAAGTACTTTCTCCCATGTTTTGAAATACTTTTATTTTAAAATTTATCTGATGTGTTAGTTTCTAATATCATGCAAAGTATGCAGTTGTAAATTTTGTGATTCAAAATTGTAGCTAACAGGCATGATGCTATAGCCTTGTGACTAAAATCTTCACCTTGCATGCACTAGGATCCCCTATGAACACCATTTCATGTCCCAGCTGCTCCATTTCCCTCCCAGCTCCCCACTTGTGGCCCGAGAAAGCAGGCGAGGGTGGCCCAAAGCTTTGGGAATCCGCACCTGCATGGAAGACCAGGAAGAAGCTCCTGGCTCCTGGCTTCAGAACAGCTCAGCTCTGGCTGTTGTGGCTTATCGGGGAGTGAACCAGCAGATGGAAGAGCTTTCTCTCTCTGTAAATCTGACTTTCCAGTATAAAGAAATAAAATCTATTTTTAAAAATTGTAGCTAACATAGATTTATATTTCAGACTTGTAGAGACTTGTTTATATTTTCCAAGAAATTTACTTGTAAATTTGGCACTGTCATTTGTAAATGTAAACAATTGTCAATAGTAGCTTCTTTAACTGTGTGATAAGAGATACATTTTTGAAAATAATTATTTTTGTTTCATATCAAGAAATGGATGCAAGGAGGCTGCTGGATCCAGGGTTGAAGGTTCAGGAAGGCCTCTGGGATCTCCCTCTGAAGAACCAGCAGACGGAATGCCCAAGTGATTGAAGACAATGGGCGCTAATGCGTCTAACTATCCTCACTCCTGTTCCCCGAGGGTAGGGGGAGCTTCACAGGCCCAACAGACTTTTATAGGTAACTTTCAGTTTTGCTAATTTAATTTTGTTTTATAACCACAAGTGGATTTGTATTCAGTATGTTTTGTGAATGAAGAAAGAATTGAGCTTCGGACACCTTGCAAAAAATTCTGTAGCATATAAATTCCCCACTTCAGCAAATGTAAATTATGTTTGTGTTTTATCCTTAATAAACTTTGTATAGCCAAACTGATGTTTTCTTTGATGTCTTAACCATAATTGTCGATATCTTAGGTAAACCAGCAGTCTAATCTCTGCTAGTCTAAAAATAGTGAAATAGGTGTTGCCTGGTTCACTTACTTTGCCTATACAGATATAGTGTATATATAGTGTATATTTGGTGTAGTTAAATGAGAAACATTTTATAACATTCTTCACTTACCACTTGGCCTTTTTTTTCTTTCTTTCTTTCTTTTTTTTTTTTTTTAAAGAAAGCAAGTATAAGGGTTCCCATGGACTTTTTTATTTTCATTGGAAAGATTTACAGAGAGAAGGAGAAACAGAAAGATCTTTCATCCACAGGTTTACTCCCTAAGTGACCACAGTGGCCAAAGTTGAGCCAATCCTAAGCCAGGAGTCAGGAGCCAGGAGCCTCTTCTGGGTCTGTCACACAGCTGCAGGGTCCCAAGGCTTTGGGCCGTCCTTGGCTGCTTTTCCAGGCCACAAGCAGGGAGCTGGATGGGAAGCAGGGCTGCTGGGATTAGAACTGGCACCCCTATGGGATCCTGGTGCATTCAAAGCGAGGCCTTTAGATACTAAGCCATCACGCCGGGCACAAAAATAAAATAAGTCTTTTTTTAAAAAAAGCTATTAAAAAAATTCATGCTATGAGTTTGCCCTTTGCCCTGCTGCACTATGCTCCACGTCACAGTACCTAGATTCTGTACTCGGCGCTGCTCCTAACTTGAGTCTGCTGTTGCGGGCCTGGCAAGAAGCAGTGATGACCCACATGTTGGCCTTCTCCTTCTCTTGCAAGAGTTTCGGGTTGAATTCCTGTCCGTTGTAGGCATTTGGGGAGTGAACCAGCAGAGCTTTTGTGTGTATATATTTACTTTAAAAAAGAAAAAAAGTATTTACTGTCTGTCCTTTACTTAATATAAAAATGAGTGATTTGAACTTTCATAAAAGTCAGTGTTATTTGACTGGAAATGTCTGTTTGCAAAATTTTTCCTAGCATGAAGAATGTTACACATTGAAAATTAATGTTTAAAAAGAAATGGATTTTTTCATTTGTTTCTTTCTCTTCTTAGGGACATCATCCTACTCCCAGCAAGGCTTTGGTTGTGAATCAAAATTGTATAGCCTTGACCATGGCCACGAGAAACCACAAGACAAAAAAAAGAGAACCTCTGGCCTTGCCACCCTCAAAAAGAAGTTTATTAAGCGTCGGAAATCTAATAGGTCTGCCGATCACGCCAAGCAGATGCGAGAACTCCTCTCTGGGTGGGACGTTAGAGACGTCAACGCTTTGGTGGAGGAATATGAGGGAACTTCAGCCTTAAAGGAGCTTTCTCTACAAGCCAGCTTGGCTAGACCAGAGGCCCGGACGTTACAGAGAGATATGGCTGATCTTTATGAGTACAAGTATTGTACTGATGTAGACTTAATATTTCAAGAAACTTGTTTTCCTGTTCATCGTGCCATTTTGGCAGCAAGATGTCCATTTTTTAAAACACTGCTTTCTTCCTCGCCAGAGTATGGGGCAGAGATTATAATGGACATCGCTACGGCTGGTATTGACATGCCCATGTTTTCTGCACTCTTACACTACCTTTATACTGGAGAGTTTGGAATGGAAGACTCAAGGTTTCAGAACGTTGATATCCTTGTGCAGCTTAGTGAGGAATTTGGAACCCCCAATTCCCTCGATGTAGATATGCGAGGACTCTTCGATTCCATGTGTTACTATGATGTTGTTCTTAGTTTTTCTTCAGACTCTGAACTGGTTGAAGCTTTTGGTGGAAATCAGAACTGTTTAGATGAAGAGCTCAAAGCCCACAAGGCTGTTATTTCTGCAAGATCCCCATTTTTCCGAAATTTATTACAAAGGAGAATACGGACTGGTGAGGAAATCACGGACCGCACTTTGAGGACTCCCACGAGAATTATACTAGATGAGTCCATTATACCAAAAAAATATGCAAAAGTAATATTACACTGCATGTACACTGATGTGGTGGACCTCTCCGTGCTGCACTGTAGCCCCTCTGTGGGGAGTCTCGGAGAAGTTCAGGCCCTGGTCGCAGGGAAGCCCAACATGGCCAGGGCGGAAGAAGCCATGGAGCTTTACCACATAGCACTGTTCCTGGAGTTCAACATGCTTGCACAAGGTACGAAATTCCAGTTGTTTTTGATTTCCAACGTTATACCTTTGTCATCAAGAGCAGGGTGTTGTGTGAGTTGAGGGTTGGAGGGTAAGACAGGATCTGGTTTTTTAAATCTGCTGTTAAGACATCTGAGTCAGAGGAAGGACCAGTCCTAACGTGTCTTCATTTCATGTTAAAACGAGCATTCAGTGCTTGTGACTGAGAGTGTTAGTTGAGACTCGGGGCTGCTTCTTGCTGAGCTGATGGCTGTGGCATCTGTAGATAGCCATATGCATCCCACCTCCACCTGAGCTTTGAACTAGCCCTGTCGCCCAGGTTTCAAGGTTAAATTCTCATATTTACATTTGATATATTGTTGATACTAATGTTTGGAATAACATTTTATTACAAAGATAAAGATAGTTGGCATTTGTATTAGAAACAACATTCGACAGGGCTTCTTGTTTCCAGATATTCTGTCTTCTTTTGGGCCTGACTGCCGTGTCTTGGCATAGCAAACGCCCATGGTAAAGCACAGGTGCCTTTTTGAGTTAAACTGAAATTTTTAAATGAGGAGAATACCTTTGTTGTCTTACTGAAAAATGAATGAATGTTATATTAAAAGAAGCATACGTCTATTGGTAAATGTTGGAATCAATATTTCAGAACTGGGAAGATACCTTCCTGGGGAGATCAAAGGGAATTTGCTATTCTGTGAAAGAAGAGCAAGCTGCATGATAGCAGATTACCTTAGAAATCTAGTCTAGCTAATGCATATTTATTGAAAGAATATTAGAAGCTGCCATTAGGGCAGGTGTTGTGGCACAGTTGATGAAACAGCCATTTGGGATGCCCACGCCATGTCCTGGAGGGCCTGGGATTGTTCCTGTTACCACCTCTACTTCTAATCCACTTAACTGCTAATGCACACCCTGGCAGGCCGCAGGTGATGGCTCAGGTCCCGAGCTGTCCACTCAAGACCTGGGTGGGGTTTCTGGCTCTTGGCGTGGGCCTCGTCCAGCCCTGGCTATTGCAGGCAGTTAGGGTGTGAGCCAGTGGATGGAAAATAGAGGTCTGTGTTTTAAAGAATTAAAATGGGGCCCAGCGCGGTGGCCTAACGGCTAAAGTCCTGGCCTGTATCCCATATGGGTACTGGTTCTAATCCTGGTAGACATGCTTCCCATCCAGCTCCCTGCCTGTGGCCTGGGAAAGCAGTTGAGGATGGCCCAAAGCCTTGGGACCCTGCACCTGCGTGGGAGAGCCGGAAGGGGCTCCAGGCTCCTAGCTTAGGATTGGCTCAGCTCTGGCCGTTGCGGCCACTTTGGGAATAAATCAGCTGATGGAAGATCTTCCTTTCTCTCCTCTGTTACCTGACTTTCCAATAAAAGTAAAATTTAAAAACAAAAGGCTAAAGAAAATCTTAAAATCTTTAGTATTTTAGGAACAGATTAGATTTTGTTGTAGTAACTGAAAATGTCATTAAAATACTTTAAAAAATGGGAATTTTTATCATTTGCAATAGTGGGCTACTTAAATTATAGGAAAGATGTAAAGGTTAACCTAGTCATTTGGCCTGTTATTCTTTTAATTCTAAAACGTTTGTCAGAAAATACTACCAGAAAATGTAAATTTATAGCGTTAACAAAAACATGACACTCTCCATTTTTCTCACATTTTTAAAAATTATTTGTTTGAAAGACAGAAACACATCTTCCATTCACTCCCCAAATAGCCACAGAGCTGGGAGGCAGGAGCTTCTTCCAGGTCTCCCGTGTGGACGCAGGGGTCCAGATACTGTCCTCTCTGCTTGCCCAGGCACAGCAGCAGGGAAACACTAGAACGCCAGCTGCTGCTCATTGCATGTTGGCGCAGAGCCACGGGGACCACAGCACCACGGCACCATCCCTAAATGCTTTGTAGTTTTGAGGAGTTTCAACAGCAAATCCGAATCTATCACATATACTATTTTTCAAAACAAAAAGTGTCTTTTGTTTTTCAAGTTTTGAATGAAAAGTAAAATTGTGTGCATGCGCTTGCATCTTTGATGTCATTGGTTACTAACTCATCTGCTCATGATATAATTTTCCTTATTTGTCATTTAGCTAGAAATTGAAATTTAATAAACAAAAAGTTATGTATGTGGTTTCTTAATTTTGAGTGTGCATTCTCTTGTTTTCCTTAACAGTGCAAATACGTTTAGGGGTGTTTGAGTTTCTTTTATTCTGTATACTCTGTGTGTACACTCCTGCTTACCCACGGTGATACTGCTGACGGGGTTTATAATACAGGCTTCACTCTCGTTTTTATCTCATTTCCGTTCGGGGGCTGCACAGTGTTTGGTCACTTGGAGACATTTTATGCTATTATACTTAGAGCTCAATTTCCAGAAAGTTATCCTATATTTCATGATTTGTTTGACCTACAAGTCTTGTTTTCTCTTTTGTAAAATAAGAATAGTAACCCTGTAAGATAAAATTATGAGGATTAAATAAAAGTTAAATGGTCTGAATAGTGCCTGATGCATAGCAAACATTTCATACATACACCACTGGTTCACTCCCCAAATGTCCACAGCAGCCAGAGGTGGGCCAGGCCAAAGCCAGCAGTCCCAGGACCCTGCCACCTGCTGCCTCCAAACTGTGCTTGAATGGGAACTGGATCAGCGGTGGAAGCAGGCCTTGAAGCACATCCAGCCCCTGCAGTATGAAATGCAAGCTTCCTGGTGGTTTCTAAACTGCTGTGCCCACAGCCTGCTTCGTTTATGCACCGTTTTGAAGAGAATTGGCTCAGTAATTGCTTAATACTCTGTTATTCGAAAGGGAATCAGGTAAGCCAGATTCTGAGACTGGACTCTTGGACACCTTGGGATAAAACTGGCCTTATCTTTGTGTCTCAAGTGTCCAGGGCACAGTAGGCAAGTGTTTTTAAGACAATAACTATTAACTTTTTATTTGAAATTCAATTTAATTATGTAAGTAATAGCCCAGTATTATAAACAAATAGTAACCAAAACAGAATGGGCTGGCTGTGTCAATAGCAGATGAAATTTCAAAAGGTGACAAGAGGCAGATGGTTATATAGAAAAAACATGTAGTAGCTAGATGCATTTACTTACCTTCTCAAGTACATGAAGCAAGAACTGACAGCTGAAAGGTTCAACAGGCAGCTCTAGGATTGTTGGATATTCAATATCTTCCTGCCTATAATGGTTAGAATAACAAGACAGAAGGTGCATAAAGGGAAAAAGGTGATCCCTATACCTACCAAACCGTATCATGGAAAATAATAACAACATTTTTTAAAACTTTAAAAATAGCAGATGATACATAAAGGAATACAAGCCTTAACAAGCCTGTTAGCTCAGTACTGACTACCCAACCTAGTACATGCCTTCGCAAAGGACAGTTTCCAGGACTTCTGGTTGGCATACAGATCAAGTCTCAGTAGGATTTTATAAAATGTCTTTCCTATATACAGCAGGATGAAGTTAGAGATTGTGACAGGTAAAACAAGAAAATCCGCATATTTATGGAAATTAAAGAAAACAGTCTTTAAGCAGTGACTCAAAGAGCACCTTTAAAGCATTGTGCAAAATAAAAGTCACAGAATGACAAATACTCTCTGATTCTACTTGTGTGAGGTAGAGCAGTCAGAATTTTAGGCACAAGTGGAAGGGTGGTTTCCAGAAATGCTGGAGAAGGGGAAACGGGAGTATTGTGTAATAGGTATACAGAGTTTCAATTTCATAAAAGGACAAGAGAGAAATAGTGGTACTTACTGCACAAGATCATGAATATGTTTAGCTCTTTGGGCTCTGATCTTTAAAAGAGCTATTTGAAAGACAAAATTACAGACAAAACAAGAGACAAAGAGGTCTTCATCTGCTGGGTCATTCCCCAGATGGCCACAATGGCTACTGAGCCATATGAAAGCAGAAGCCAAGAGCTTCCTCCAGGACCCCCCATGTGAGCACAGGAGTCAAGTGCTTGGGCCGTCCTCCTCCACTTTGTCAGCCATAAGCAGAAAGCTGGAAGTGGAGCAGCTGGGACATGAACTGGTGCCCACATGGGATGCCATTGCCACAAGCAGAGGCTACAGTGCCGGCCCCTAAGTCAATAAGCTTCATGTGCATTTTACTGTAATGTAAAAACAAAAAAATTAATGCATTTTACTGTAATTTTTTAACCTGAATGAAAATTTCAAGTCAATTTGTAAACTTGACAAATTTTACCAATATAGGCTGGAAGACTCAAGACTTAAGATACACTCTTTGTGGTTGGTTGGTTCTTAAAAAGAGATGACTTAGTTTCATAGCTTCAGGAGCATCATTCAGCAGAGAATATAGCAGACAACCTGATGGTTTGAGAATTGTTCAGAAGAGAGAGGGCTCTTTGCTCACACAAAGAATATTTTGTTTTCTGGAAAAAGGCAGAAAGCCTTAACTACAGACCTGACATTGTAGGGCCACTTTTGACTTCACTGGATTTGCACAGTAACAACATAAAACAAATACCTGGAAGAAGACAACATTGGGAAAAGGGTGCTGTGCTTTGGGAGGATGGAAAGCAGATTGAGAAGTGGTGCTGCCTTGATCCAGAGGAGTGGTCTGTAACTAGAGGCCTCAGAGGGGCTGGTGAGGGGGGCAGCAGTTCTCCTTTCACAGTTACTAGGTGCTGACAGGAAGTGCCCCAGAAAGAAGGGCGAATTCGATGTAGAAATGAAGAGAGGGATTCTCTCCTCAGCCTTTCCCCCACCTGGTTGGGCAAAGGGGTGTGGGTTTGTTTCCTTCCACACAGCAAACTGAGTACTCTGTGTCAAATAATCTGCCTCCCACCCCTGCACTCCTGTTTCCATTTCCAGGGGTTATGTGCGTGAGTGACTGCGTGGTCTCCTTATTCTGTCTGCTCTTGGCACTGATCAGCACCTGTAGCCAGGTGGCACACCCTGTCCTGCTCCCTCAGGTCTCCTCTCCTTTACCTTTCCCCATCCAGACAAAAGAGACCCAAGAGTGCCCAGGATTTTCT